TTGGGCGCCGCAGGTAGGTCATCCAATACATGAAAAAAGGGGCGGGAGGGGGGGGGGGGGGGTTCGCAGTGCAGTAATTTTGCTGGCAACCGCACCATCTACCTCATGTTCTGTGAACAGTAGCCCGGGCTGGACCGGGGAAGCCAAAGTTCAAGATAAGCACCGGCTAAGGATATGACTGAAGCCGCAGAACCATACTTAAAAAATATACAAATAGCACACCTGCAGAAACTGAACGCATCCAAAGTCAGAAGAAATCACACCGCGAAGAAAGTGGCGAAATATGGTTCAACTGTGAGAGGGAAACTGAGCACAAATAGGATAAGCAATGTACGGCAACAAGATAATAGCAACAATGGACACAGATCTTACATTGAGATCGAATTGCGACAACAGAAAGGAAAAAGCGTGGAAGATGAAGAGCGTGAGCGATCGCACTTAGAACAGTAAGAATTTGGTAGTTTTGCACTTCTATGACAAAAGTGGCTGCGAGCTTCTGGCGGCTGCTACGGGCTGCCAGCAGTGGCTACGGGCTGCCACGGGCTGCTAGACGGCTGCCGACGCGTTATGAAGGCACCCTGAGATAACCGCAATCATTTCCAAACTTAGTAATGTTCGATGAAAATGAGGAGGTTTAGCTGAGATACTGCGCGTTTCTTACAAATCATATTTAGCATGCTTGAAGTCCGTCACATGGAGAGTAAAGTTGCAGGTACTTAAAAGACACAAAAAGAGTTTATTCGCAAAGCCGCCATTAAAGTCGGGTAGGGATAACGTGCTCCAAAAAAATTCCTGCTCCAATCACAAGTAATCGCTCCATAGGCACCCGCCATACTTGATCCGCTTAATCCACTTGATCCACTTCATCCACTTCACTATTGGCCAGTTCACTGAATTGACCAATGATGAAGCGGATCAAGCGGATCAAGTGGATTAAGCGGATCAAGTATGGCGGGTGCCTAAGGTGAATCTACGGTTACTAGATCGCTTATGTAAATGAAGCTTGCGTTGCAGCCTGCTTATTGTTCATCGAAACAAATTTCTCGAGATCTAGAAAAAATCAAGCCGTCCCATTATTTTCCGACCACCTTAACATTAGAAGAAAAGGGCTCTACGTCAGCTAGTTCGAGATTTCTGAACAGAAAGTGATTTTTTTCCGAACAGAAAATGTCAAAATGTAGATGACATGCCCGATTTTTCTTATACGTACCAGTTAGTTGTACATAATTTATTGGTGATACCTGCTTCTAGGTCAAATACCATGATTGGCATAGCAAAAGAGACAAAATTCTTTGTGAAAATGGAGACCAAATGACTAAATAAGATTATAATTTTTACCAAGTTTAGCCTGAAATTGCCACACTTGACAGCAAGTTACACCTCGCTCAGGAACTTCAGAGCATTTATTCAAATGGATATTGAAATCGCGCCGCTCAAAAAATCTTTGCGAACTTTGCAAACGATAGAATATCCATTCCAGAGGACGAAGATATCTGTCAAGAGCAGCGCTTAGTGAAGGGCAATAATGTAGGAAGAATATGATTACAAGTAGTAAGAGCTAACAAAGCAAATGAAGGAGAAGTGATGATCACCAAAATATTCAGATGACCGAAAACACTTAAAAATGGATTTCCGGATGATCTATAAACAAAAAACGATTCGCCATGCTGCAGGCATTACAATGACTCTACGTGCAATTTAGTACTCCGCTCAAAAAGCTGCGTATATTTTCAATAAGCATGGATAGAAAAACTAGTAAAATCTTCGCACTTCCCCATATGGATCATCATGCGGGAAGTTTTGACAAAAATGCAAGTACGAAGCACTGGAAACTGGTAGCTGGACTTTCCATGTGGAACAAACCCAGCCGACAAATGGAGACGCAAGCAGACAACGAGGTTCGGCAGCGCCCCCAAATCGATCGCTGATGTTGAGCGTGCCGAATACACCCAACTAACGCAAAAATGCACGCACCTTGCGCGAATGAACTACGATCCCTTAGAACTCACCATAGATACTTCATCCACTTTGTCCGCTTTGCTGTTCGTCAAATCAATGACTGCCCTTGTAAAGATTAGAGGCCCAGTGACTTTGACATGGGAGAAATTCCGTCGGTGGGCCAGAAAACCCTGGACAGAGCGCTTCTCTAACTGCTGTGAAAGTTTGCTGCTCCAGAAAGTCACGTTGCAATTTTGTGTCCCGACTCTTGATCACCCTAACCTGACTCGAGAATACAACAGTTATGTTGCCGATCACCTTGCAAAAGAGTTTGATAGTTTTCCAACTCGACTAATCATGAATAACTATCACAACCAAGCAAGATTAGGGTATGCAATGGACTCATGTCGGGAGAATTGTGAGACGATGAAGTCGAAGTATCCTCAATTCATTTATAACTTGATATGTGGAAGTGCGCACTCTGCACTGCATGCGACGGCTAAAACCTTTCCTAGTCTAACGAACCTTAAATTCGTGTTTTACTATCTGGCATATATCCAACAAAAACAAAAATAGACAAACAGACGAGGAGAAGTCATTTGAAATGAGCAGGATCTAATCTTGGAGTTCGTCAGATAGCGCACATGGTGTGCACTACACGTATTAAGTTACGAATGACTCGACGATAAATATACGCGATTCACAGCACGCGAAGACTGCGGACGTATCCGCGTTTCTCCGATCGAGCGCTCTTTCGTTTCTCTTACCATCTGCTGTCTCTCCCACGCAGGAACTATCTTGGTCGGATGCAACGGCGCTCAGTCTTTGCGTGTTATGAATCGCGTATGCTTCCTTTAATCGGCCCTTCATACACTACTTGGAATTAGGGAGAGAACGAGTTCAAGTTTATCTAGACATTGTGCGTAAGCGCACTCGCGTTTGCTTTCTCAGATGGTAGAAACCCATGTCCATGCACGAAATTAGAGCCCTGGCCATACGTACAGCGATTTCATCGCCGAAGAATTTCGTGATTGCAGCGACGAAATCGCGACTATCAAATCGCTCATCGCGGGTTCTAGACCTACCATCCAACGATTAGGGCAATTGCACAAGCACACATTTTACGTAAACCTTTGTGCAGTATTCACATTTACCTTGGTTTACTGATCTGGGGCGGTATGCATCAATCTCCCGTTTTGAAAGCGGGCTATCATTTTCAATAGAAAAACGATTGCCCGGCCGGGTTGGCCGCCCGACCTGTAATGATGAAGCTGCGTTTTTCTATTGAAAATGATTGCCCGCTTTCAAAACGGGAGATTGATGCATACCGCCCCTGATGAATCTGCCTTCTGCCTATAAATGATTGTGAAATCAATACACAGACGCGTAGCCATACTCCAATCTCAATATTCCACTGTTTGAGTTTATTAACTGTTGTAATGGCTAGGAGGAGTACGCCCGATGATACCGGGCGCAAAGCATCCCGGTGCTTGCAAAGACATCAAAGAGGCGAGAACTTTCATACCGCTGATCAAGAAAATTTTTCGTCATTGTACTGCAGCCGCGAGTACTTTTTTGATTATCACGATGTAGAGCAGTCGTTTTGGCTTCGCTATGAAGAATCCAAAAGTGTTTCTCAGATTTTAAGTAGAGAATCAAATGAACAAATGGGTGTTGAATTTTTGAACTTGTCATGTAGTATCAGAACTCATGCTTATAAAGATTTACTCTCATTTATAAGCTGTGAATGGAGGCTATCGAACGCAAAATTGATAGATCAAGTAATAAATAGCGTGCTAGCACTCCAACTGCGCTAAAGGCATTGTGCCGTGCCAAACTGATGTGATTGTCGTGAACATTCTGAGCTATCGAATTCAGTGATTCAAGTTACTCACCTTCAAGCTAGTACCTGAAGGCAGTGCCCAGGCAAGAAGTCGATTTTGAGACTTTGTGCTTATGCTGACATATATTGTGTTGTGATTGAGGAACATTCAATGGAAAAATGCGAATAGATGATCATTCAACCAACGAATGCACTTCCTTTGAAATCCTCCTTCAGGTAAAGTTTTTCTAAGCGTTACTTGCGCAGCGTTGAAAGTTGTGGAATGTGCACACCTTAACGACAGGTTTCGAGCAAATTTGTTTCGGGTCAGGGAGCGCGCTCTCCGCAGCCAGCGTGCAACTAGAGACGCGAGCATGTTTGCAGAACCAAATAAGTCAGAAAAAGTAAGAACTGTAGTTGATGATTAGACAGAGAGGGATGGAGAAACTTCACTTTGTACCACTCTGTATACAAGTACAGTCGAGTAGATTTCCTGCTTAATATAGTGTCCCTGCAGACGCGACAACGCTGGGGCGTCAATAAATGCCTTGCGAGTTTCCGAGCCAGTGTTTTCCAGTGTTTTCTTTGCTTATTTCATGCTTTTTAGTTGATTCGTTGCTGATAAAGAGGAAAAGGGTAAGTTAAAGAGTAGTGTTTTCTGAGAAGTTCTATCATCGCATATTCACAGATATCCACGTGGAATCATTTCGCGTCAGCTTCTTGTCTATTTTTTTTTGTTTGTTTCTTCTGTCACTTCTTCTTGCAAACCTCCTCCTTCTTGTGAGGCGTTTCTTTGAACGCTAGTTGGCTTGTCTTGCAGCAACTTCGGATTTCATCCATAAAAAATAGCATTTTAATCAAGTACTTCATGTGATAAAGACAATAAGTCAATCGTAAAAACCCACTAGCGTTCAAAGAAGTACCTCACAATAAGAAAGAGACATGAGGTGACAAAGAAATAGACAAAAAGCTGAAGCGAACTGTTTCCACGTGGATATCTGTGAATTTGCGATGATAGAACTTCTCAGAAAACAGAAACTACTCCTTAACTTACCCTTTTCTTCTTTATCAGCAACGAATCACCTAAAAAGCATGGGATTAGCAAAGAAACAATGGAAAACACTAGCTCGGGAACTCGTCAGGCAATTATTGACGCCCCAGCGTTGTCGCGTCTGCAGGGACACTATATTAAGCAGGAAATCTACTCGACTGTATAGATGATTTTATGATAGATGGACATGAAAATTAAGAAGTTTATCTAAGGAAGGAACAAACTCTATAGAATCGAGACAGTAGATGATTTAGAACTGAGTCGGACGAAGTTATCATAAACAATAATCATCATGAAATGCAGGAAGAAAGCAGATCCTTCCTAGGTATTTGTGGAGAAAATGGGAAATATGGCGAACAGGACGATGTAGCAGGTGTAACTTCCACCTGAAAACATATTTTTATGGAAAGTCTAGCACACAGTGTCACTCATGTGCTCCCTTTTCTGGCTTGGGGTCTGCCTTGATGATTAGAGGTTCGCACGCAAGACATGCAACAGGAAGTACGTAATTGACACTGATTTTAGAATGATATATACATGTAAATTGGCAAAACTGATGTGCGGGAAAGCATTTGCTTGGGAGGGGACAAGCAAATCTATCGTCAAATCGCCGACCGCATGGACTGTACAAACGCTGCGGATCACGCGCAGCCAGGCTGAAAGTTGCGAGAGCACGAAATGTACAGTAAATTTCGACCCGCTTTAGGCCCCGGGCAGACTTCACGCGATTTGATCGTCGCGACTGAAACGCGACGAGACAACTGTTACAACATCATTCCATGCCGATCAACTTGCATTCGGTTGTGATACTTTTCCAGACCGAAATTTTTGAATGTGAAATGAAAATGAATGGAAATCTTGGCGATTAGATCGCGACGATTAAGTCGCGTGAAGTCTGACCGGGGCCTTAGGCGGAAATTGGATTGGCGGGCGTCCGCCTCGCAACAGCTCGCGCCATTTCGCAGCTACAGTATAACCTATCGTGCTGAGAACCGAGGTCTGCGCCTCTTCATTCTTCCCAGTCTTTGCTTGGCAAAATGCCACCGCTGTGCGCTCGCGAAGCCTCTAGCGGTGCGCAAGCGCGCTCCTCGTGAAATGTTCCGCGCCTAATCCGGGATGAAATCGACTGTACAACAGCGAATTTGTACTGGGACAAGTACATTACATCGCGGCGCGTGCTCCGCAAAAATGTCCAGTCCGTGCGGTTAACGAAACGACGGTAGCTGGCTGGCCGATAGGGTGACGGCAGAAAAAAAATCAAACAAATTCGTGATGGTGCAATGTTCAATGTAAAAAGTGACAATAAAAAGGTTAAGACCGCAACTGTAAGGAAAAAAGCAGTGATACGATTAATACCTGAACAGACTGAATTGGCAATGATCCATCCTTCACTTCTCGATACGTACATGTTTTCATGAACATTAGATAGGTTTACCTTGGCCGTCACTAACAGAGATTTGGCCTATATGCAGAAAACACCCTAAAGTTGAAAATCGAAATGCACATAACGTACCATTCTCATCAGCCAATTTCTTAAGAACTTTCTTAGGGATCGTTCATACCGCGCACAAAGGCGGACGAAGGCGGACGAAGCCGGACGAAGTCGGACAAAGGCGGACGAAGGCGGAAGAAGGCGCGTCTTGTCTCGTCTCGTTTCTCTCGACACACACATACACACACTCACACACGCCTCGTCTCGTTTCTCTCGACACACACACACTCACACATGCCTTCGTCCGCCTTTGTGCGGCTTCGTCCACCTTCGTCCGCCTTTGTCCGGCTTTGTCCGGCTTCGTCCGCCTTCGTCCGCCTTTGTGCGCGGTATGAACGATCCCTAAGGCCTCGGACAGAGTTCACGCGATTTGATCGTCGCGATTCCATCGCCGCAATTTCCATTCATTTTCATTTTATATTCAAAAATTTCGGGCTGGAAAAGTATCACAACCGAAATGCAAGCTGGTCGGCATGCAATGAACTCGTAACGGCCCGAGGCCTTAAAGGCAGTGTCTCACCAAAGTTGAGGTCGCGGGGATCTTTACATATTCTATTATAGGGACCTCTAGATAGGCCATTGCAACAAGTCCCACTCAATTTGACCCCCTCTACGCTGAGAAAAATTCGCGCAAAGTGGTACGCGGAGAGCCAGTTGGTACGCGCGAACGATCCTTCGGTCTCCCCCTTCACGCGTTTGAACATGTCCCTCCACTTGGCATCCACCTCCCCTCTGTTGCTGCCACTGTGGCTGAAGCTGAAGTTGGAAGGTACAACTCGTCCACGTTGCTTCCGCGGGGCCTCCAGTGGCCGTATTCATCAACGAAACCCGAGGGTTCCGGAACCCACTGGGTTAGTGCTTTTGATGAATATCGATTCTACTCCAGGGAAGAATCGATATTCATCAAAAGCACTAACCCAGTGGGTTCCGGAACCCACGGGTTCCGTTGATGAATACGGCCACAGAAAACGCGGTTTTTGGGAACTTCGTGCGATTTTAAGCCCATACAGTGCTAGACAGGGTCCAACAGGCTTCCAAAATGCAAAAATTTCGGCAACTAAATTTTGGTGAGACACTGCCTTTAAGCAACAATCATCCGCGCGACTGGACTTGCTTTGTCGCCATTAAGGATCCAGAAAAACAGCTGGAAGTAAAGCAAGTACAAAATGCGCATATGAATTGTGAACTTACGTCGCCTTCGGGGTCCATAGAAGTGATCACTGCTAAACGAACATGCGACATCATACATAGCATGCGAATCGAAAAAGGTAATTAGGGTCCTAAAGATGGAAGGCTGCACGAGCGAAAACTTTTCACTCAAATGGTAAAAAGATTACCTACTTCACCGTTTACTCTGAAGTAGATAGATGTGAAGAAACAGCAATACTTAGAAGGCTCTACCACACACTGACATGCTGTGCCCTAAAATTCGGTAGTTCAAGTGACCATGCTGCAATCGGTCGTGACTATCATCGAACCAATTTCATCCATTCACTGACTCCAACACCAATAAAAACATGCTGATACTGCTCAACAGTTGAATCAAAAGTGTACAAAGAAGTGGACTACAGTATTACTCAGTTAGAAGTTTCGAACAAAGGGAACGGCCATAGGTTGTCGGTGTTGTCGATGTTGTCGGTGTTGTCGGTGTTGTCGGTGTTGTCGATGTTGTCGGTGGGGTGGAGGAACGAACACCTCAATTAGGCACCGCCTCCGCGGACCACTGGTCCCAACACGATGCACAACAGTAGGACGAAAGGACCAGCAGCCCGCGGAGGCGATGCCTAATTGAGGCGTTCGTTCCTCTACCCTTGTCGGTGTTGTCGGGGTTTCCGAGGGCCGGTCGTTGTAGGACCTCATGATAGCCTCCACGTTTCGCGCGCTCTCTAAACTGTCTCTGACCCCGACAACCCCGACAACACCGACAACACCGACAACATCGACAACATCGACAACACCGACAACCTATGGCCGTTCCCAAACACAGAAACACTCGTAATATCTGCTCCGAGACGAAGGCGGTCGCCCAAATAGGTTTAAAGCATGCGAAGCTGCAGCGCGCGCAATTGTCAACCACAGGGCGCGCGCACGCTCGGTCAGCGGTCGCTCACGGGAGCGTGCGCGCGACCCGTGGTTGACAATTGCCCGCGCGCCGCGTGCGCGTTAGCCTTGTATGCTTTCAACCTATTTGGGCGACCGCCTTCGTCATGGAGCAGATATTACCTATAGTTACAAATGGCTGCGAAGAGCGCGGCCCATGTCCCAGTGCAAATCTGTATTCCGCGCGGGAACCCTGGCGGTTAAGCGCGCACACCCTATAACTTTCAGCGCGAAACAAGTGACACTGAGGGAAAAACGACTCTTTTCTGCAGGAGAATCAAAAAAAACAAGTGGTTGTTAACGTGCATGATTCATCCTTCATCTCTTGCCATGTAGATCATTTTTCATTGATATGGTACCCCAAGAACTTGGCACGGATAAGAAAGTAATTTTGTGCTTAAACAGAGAGAAGCTTTCTACCGAACATGTTTCTTATACGCCAGCCACAAGAAGAAGAAAGCGCAGATCTAAGCGTCAAGAGGTAAGTATCATTTACTCTGAGACTAGAAGACCCTAGAACGTTTCAATTTCAAAAGCACTTTAATATATCTCATTCTTGATGATAGACCACTGGATAAAACCAATTCGAGCATGTTTAGAAAACTTTAGGTACAAAGCGTTTTTGAGTTTTCTATTCCCAGAATGGATAGTAGCTTGCAGGTGAGCATTGTAAGTTCAGATGGATCTCGATAGCTCAAATGTTTGGGAAGATTATTGTGTACGTCAATTTCGGCAGCTTAGGTTAGGCCTAGGTACCTCCAGCTCAAGTTGGGCGCTATCACGCTTTCCACTTTACTACTTATCACTAGATTTTGGTACTTAGTCTTTGATCATATTTGATGGGTGGATAAGTGTACAAAACATGAGTACGGCCTATGAGAAATATGTTGTTCAGATACTTCTTGCTTCTTTGCCTATCAATCCTCATCTGAACGCATTCGGAATGGTCAGAAATCAAATTGGCTAATCCAGACATGCTGCATACCGTTAGATGAAGCATAAAATGCTGATTTCGAATCTGTATCCCTTATTTGCTTAGCGCCATTGTGGACGAAGTTATGAGCCGTCAAAAGCCATTATGTTGCTAAGAAATCATGCATGCAAAGCGCAAATCCAACAGTAGTGAGCCATGTTCTGCTTGATGCTGTGCTAAAACATGCAAATGGTTTACTTTATACTCTTGAAGCCTAGAGGTGAGCTGAAAGGGCAATAATGTGCTGAATTTCGCAAACATGTGCGATTTTTTCACAATAAAACTGCTCATAACATAGTCCACAAAGGCGATAAGCAGATAACGAATACGGATTCGAAGTCACCGTTAATTCTGCATCGAATAGTAGGCAGCTTGCATGGATTGGCCACTTCGACTTCTGACCATTTCCTTGTTAGGTAGCTATTGCGAGGCACTGAGATAAAACTGCTTCCCATGTTGTCATGACCAAAATTTTCATGCATGCAGTATAATGAACTCAACGAACCTTCTTCACGATGTTTGATGGTGCAGATCACTTTTCACTTTTCTGACAGTGGAAAGAAACCCTGTGTTGTTGAACGAGAGTCCACCTTTCATAGTTGTTATAGATTACTTCAGAGCATGCAGATACTGTCCATTCTGCATAAGAAACAAGATGTGGATCCAGGACCCGGCACGAGGTGGGCAAATGACAAGCTAGAAATCGTTTTGATCAAAAGCAAAGGAGATATCGTTTTTGCGGGGTCCGGGATCCTCGAAAAAATTGATAGTTAATGCTCTCGCGTATCTCAACATGCTATATGCCTCAACAGAAGCACAGCAGAGTTCGCGCGCGTCAAAACGCGCCGTCGCTAGCTGCCGAACGCGACGTCGCTAACTGCCGCACGCGCGACGTCGCTTAAACGATGCTATTTGTAACAGCGTATATGAATAGTCTCAATGCATGCGTTATTACATGGCACCAAATTTCGTAAGCGAACGAAGAGAGGCTAGTGGAAACAAAGTATGAAAGATTATGAACAATATATATGAATGGAAGGTGTAATAAGCATTTTTTCCAAAAATTTTGCATAAGTGGTGAATGAAGACGTGAGCTCAAATGGCTCGTTTGCAACGCACAGATGACGATATGGTATGAGACTTGGTAGGTACATGGACACGGGCCTGCAGTGCAGAGGTGAGATAGTGGGAGCCAATTCTCCCCCTACCTTCACTTTTGAGCTGGTACAGGGTGACCACCTTCACTTTTGGAATAAAAAATTTTCTCGCTGGATGTTAAAGAAGAAAATAAGCGAAACAAATGCAAAAGAGATCATTGAAAGCATATTTTTATGTATACAGCGTCATAAATATCCAAAATAAACGTGCTCATCAAATAGTGTATTTGGAAGTAAAACTCAGCGGAACTGTACGTATTTTATTAACTAAATTTTGTTATAATATACAGCGAAGAAAGTAGATCGATCCAGACAGTAACGGCCGAGAACCAGAATTTTGAATACCCTATTTTCCGGCTTATAAGCCGCACCTTACATAAGCCGCACCCGTCGCAGCGAACATTGACGCGAAAGCGTCTCGAAAAGAGTTATTTTGCCAAGTGAAAACTTAGTGCGTTTCATGAGTCCTCTTCAGTGCAAATACTCCTTCTTCAGCTATTTTTCACTTTTCAAAATGCTTGCTAATTTTGATGTCACAGGTGGGAGGAATTTCGATACAGCCGATTTCAAACTCTGAAAACAGTTAAAGCAGCAGCAGTGAGCTTATCACCATTTGATTAAGATGTTACTACTAGTATTCAAACCTTCTTTGTTTCGCGGATTCTTGATGAATAGATTAAGATGGAATACTGTTACTCTTCGACTGTTTAGCCACAACCAAGATTGGTAATTTATTTATTTAGGCTAACGTTTCGGCAATAATTCGCTTTCTTCAGAGCCTGAAATGGGCGAAAACAATTTACAGACTACCCGATCAAACATCTCCTCAACCCTACAGGCAAAATTCTAAGCTTTCTTTCGACCACGAGTAGGCTGCCATACGCAGTACTCACCTTTCGTTCGCCGGTAAAGTTCTGGTGAGTACGAGCGAGTGCTTACTGACCGCTTGAGCAAGGAATTAAACATGTCTTCACTTGATCTTCATATTTGCAAAATATTCCATCTTTTTAAGATGGAATATTTTGCAAACAAATCACAGTTGAGAAGAAACCAAATGAAGATCGAAAGCAGAAAGCCAGCGATAGGTTGTTAGGCGAGATAGATAGTCCCCCAATTCACGATACAGGACGCACCCTATTTTTCTCCTAAACTCGACTAGCATGAACGCACCAAGAAGTTTCGCGACCAAAGAACCCTCTACCTGCTCCTTACATGGAAGAATTGTAAGGGAGAGTGAGCATTTCGCAAGGAAAAGTGGTTTGGTCAAGCTGCTTGCTTGAAAAAATGGAAAAGGTGCGTCATGTACTCGTGAAATTAGGGTTGGTGCTTGTGCAGCTTCACACATCGGGAACGACATCGCTTCAGCCCGCGCGCGATGAAAAGAACTGCGGCTTATACGCCGGAGAAGAGGGTAATTAAATAGTGAAAAATTGTGCGAAATGTCCACTGTTATAAATCTGTTGTTTGAAGATGTCACCAGTTGCGACTTTATAGGTTTTGAAGAGTAAATGGTGCTCTATCAGACAGTGAAAGAATCGAGTTGATTTGAGAGATAGTTGTCGAAAACCAGAATTCTAAAAATTTACGCCATTTTTGCGTGTTTTTTGACAGCTGACAGTTAAACTCATATAAATTTTGAATGTGAAAGTGCATGATGTTGCGACCTCATTGGTTTTGTAGAGTAAGGTTTGCCTTATCAGAATAATTCTTAGCCGTACCAATCCATTGAAACAGCGCCGAGATCCAGAATCTTGAAAAAGCAGGTAAAAAAGCGCTTTTTGAAATTCAACAGCTCATAACTTCTTCAGAACTGCATGAATCGTGTTGCGACTTCATAAGTTAGATTCTTCTCATCAAGAGCTTCCAGACGATTTACAATATGTGGGGGTTTGGGGCCTCCCACGAATTATGTCCTGGGAGGGGGGGGGGAAGACTTTTCATACCAGTCTTCCCTGGCGGCCTCCCTCCAATACATTAAAGTGGGCTAGGGGCCCCAAACCCCCACATATTAAAATCATCTGAAAGCTCTTGATGAGAAGAATCTAAACTATGAAGTCGCAACATGATTCATGCAGTTCTGAAGAAGTTATGAGCTGTTGAATTTTAAAAAGCGTGTTTTTACCTGCTTTTTCAAGACTCTGGATCTCGGCGCTGTTTCAATGGATTGGTACGGCTAAGAATTATTCTGATAAGGCAAACCTTACTCTACAAAACCTATGAGGTCGCAACATCATGCACTTTCACATTCAAAATTTATATGAGTTTAACTGTCAGCTGTCAAAAAACACGCAAAAATGGCGTAAATTTTTGAATTCTGGTTTTCGACAACTATCGCTCAAATCGACTCGATTCTTTCACTGTCTGATAGAGCACCATTTATTCTTCAAAACCTATGAAATCGCAACTGCTGACATCTTCAAACAACAGATTTATAACAGTGGAAATTTCGCATGATTTTTCACTATTTAATTATTCAAAATTCTGGTTCTCGGCCGTTACTGCCTCGATCGATCTACTTTCTTCGCTGTACATTATAACGAAATTTAGTTAATAAAATACGTACAGTTCCGCTGAGTTTTACTTCCAAATACACTAATTGATAAGCACGTTTATCTTATATACATATAAAGCCGAATGTCTGTATGCACGTATGTGCGGAATAAAAATCTTTATTTCTGAACCGATTTGGACCAAACTTGGCACACATATACTTCGGGGCGGGGAGCGTGCCATAGGCTACTTTTCGTTATCGATCCATATCGATTTTATCGATTTTTTGCGAAATTAGAGCTACGGGGCTGGGAATTGGCACAGGGGGGTAATCGAGCATGCTGATTACAAATATGTTATTGACAGGGCCGGGCGGAGTCGGGTTTGCCAACTAGTTTTAGAAATTTATGACGCTGTATACATAAAATATGCTTTCAATGATCCCCTTTGCATTTGTTTTGCTTATTTTCCGCGCACTGGCGGCAACGACCTGGAGAAGACGTTAATGCTCCCCCCGGTCGACGTTTTTAGGAGGTGAGTGTCCGGCGCTACCACCTTCACTTTTGGCAGGCCAGTGGTAGCTGGGAAGACTTCACTTTTAGCGGGCCCGGCTCCCCCCATCGCACCTCTGCTGCAGGGATTAACTGAGAAGTTTTATCAAAAAATTATATGACTCAAGGTTTGGCAAGCTTTTTTCTGAAAATTTCTCGCTACCAAAATAATGGAAAATGGCTCGTTTGCAGCGCAGAGATGATGAAATCGCGCGAGACTTGGTGTATATACGCGCAGTATAACTAAGGAACAAAGTATGAAAAAATATGAAAAACTTATTTGAAAGAAGAGCGTGCCCAACTTTTTTTCCAAATTAGGTGGGCATTTGCCCACCTAATGCCCACCTGAGGTAAGCAAAACTTCCACTTCACATAATTTTTTCAAAATTCTTACATAAATGTGCTCTGCACCTAAAGTTTAGTATATAGTGACATTTTGGTTCAAAAACTCCTCCTCTCCTTCTTGTTAGAATCCGAAATAGCAACGATGCCAATCCTTTTGAGGAAGAAAGCGCGCTCTAGTCGGACAACCTACAAAGCTGGCGGGATCAAGTAGGAAATCGTAAAAATCGATGGAGGCAAAGGTGAAATCGTTTCACCGATGTCCATTTGCCACCCTCGTGCTGGGCCCTGTGTGGATCCTCAATTTGCCCATCGTGACTACGCAAAAGGGGAACCAGATTTGTCTCCAAAACAAAAGCAAAAGCAAAAACGCCTATACGAGGCTCTTTAATCCTTAGCATCAAGAAACGGAGTCATGCTGCACTAAAGCTTGCTACTAGAAAAAGGTCTTACGAGCAAGTACATGCAAGAAGTTCACAGAAAAGATCAGTCATGTACAATCCCTAGTCTTTCATGGCTAACTTGCTGGTGCTGCTCAACGACACCCTCCCCAGCTCGTGCCATGACACTGATAAGCTGTCATCGGTTTAAGATCTTCGTTGGTTAGCCTATGTACTAGCTCAGATAGTAGACATCTGTGCTTGAATTGCACGCTTCGACACCAAACGCCCTGCGCGCTGGTCAAATTTGCAGGCCCCATTTTCTTTCGACTTGTTTCTTGGCGGAAATGTCAAATTTTCCTAATTTGCACTTCTTTCGTACTGTGATGCCCGTCGTGCTTCTAATTCGTGCCATCAGTTGAAGTTTCTGTGGACTCGTACCTATAGTTACAAATGGCTGCGAAGAGCGCGCCCCATGACCCAATGCAAATTTGGCCCCATTTAAATCTACAGTCGGTTTCACCCCGGATTAGGCGAGACATTATGCGTGGAGCAGCGCATGCGCATCGCTGGAGGCTTCGCGAGCGCATAGCGCTGGCATTTTGCCAAGCAAAGACTAAGGAGATTAAAGAGACGCAGACATGGGTTCTCAGCACGATAGGATATACTGTAGCTGCGAAACGGCGCGAGTTGTTGCAAGGCGGATCCCGCCAATCCAATTTCCGCCTAAAGCGGGCCGAAACTTACTGTACAGAGTCGGCTGCGCGGGCGGTCGCGTCGCGCGCGCAGCCTTTATCATTAGGTCATGCTTGCCGTGTGCGCAGCCGACTCTGTGGATTTGTATGCTCAGTCAGCTCATTATGTAATGTTCGGTTTCTTATTAGCAAGACTGACGGTTTTCGTGACAATCTATAAAGTTTGGTAGCATTGACACTGCATCGTTTTCCTTCAAACTGATTTTGTATCGCTTCTTGCACCAACCATCCACTAAGATGTTTTTGTGTTGATAGTCCGATTTGGCTTATCTTTCACTACAATTGCGATGCCTTTTCTGCGTTTGAATCTATTGGATCTCATGTTCACATCATTTGTGTGTAGTTTTCTCTATGTACTGGTAAATTTTTTTTTATGAATCTCACTTGCAATATTCATACTCAGTTGCGAAATGGACTGCACAGTTTCTGTTCGCCTTTCTTCATCAGTTGCAATCTTGCTGGATTTCCTCATTGGTATGTGCTTTTTATCGCGCATGCTTACAACGAGAATGATGTTTTCAGTCTGTGCACTCGTCATCTTTACTCTCACTTGCAACTGTCTCTGTCGCTTTTTGACGAATCCCAAGAAGGCGTAAAAAGTAATCCCTTTAGTTTTGGAAGTTTTGCTTTGGTGCATAGATTGTTTCAGGAGTTGGAGCTTCTCAAATGTAGTGTTTTTCATGGTCGCCTTTCTATGGTCGTCTTGAGGGCTGCTTCGACTATTCTTTCCGCAAAAGTAAGTTTTCCCTTATTCTTATCGATAGCAGGAACGAAGTTCCAAGTTTGGCTTAAAGGCAGTGTCCGGGCAAAAACTCGATTTTGAGATTTTGTGCTTACTTGGGCCTATTCGCTACGCTGAATCCGAAAATACACATTGTAGAGCGCAAAAATGGCGAAAAACGGCTCTAACACAGGAGGGAAATGAGCAGGTGGGCGGGGTCCTCCCCACTGCGAATTCACGTCCCCTGCTTCTGAAGCGACCTTCTCGCTTCCGGTTTCAAGTCAATCATTCGCACTTGATCGGTAGCGATGTCAGGACGGCTAGCGGATTCGAGAAAATCGCTCCGGGAGCTGGGAGCGTAAAATCGCACTGGGGAAAGCCCCGCCCACCTGCTGATTTCCTTCTCAGACAATCGCCGGGGGCAGGCGGGCACCGGAAAAATAGATTGCTGATCTCTCGCACCCCGCTCGCGGATTTTTTGCAAAGCAATCAGGACTTTTCGGAAGACCGCTTGCTGAATTCTCGATTTTTCAGAGATTCAGCAATATATCTGCAAAAGATAAGAGCGAAAAAGAAATTCAACAGGCGGTCTCTCAAAAATCCGCTGACTCAGCAAGTGGTCTTCCGAAAAGTCCTGATTGCTTTGCAAAAAATCCGCGAGCGGGGTGCGAGAAATCAGCAATCTATTTTTCCGGTGCCCGCCTGCCCCCAGCAATTGTCTGAGTTCCTGTCTTAGAGCCCTTTTTCGCCGTTTTCGCGCTTTCCAATGTGGATTTTCGGATTCAGCATGGCGAATAAGCCCGTATAAGCACAAAATCTCAAAATCGAGTTTTTGCCCGGACACTGCCTTTAAGTGATTCTGTTCAACCGGCCTGTTAGGACCAACCGAACATAAGATTTGATTGAAATTACGCGACAGTTTCCTAAGCTAACAACATTCGTCATGTCATCGTCGTCCCCGAAGCTGTCGGATTTCCCAAAGTGCACGAAGATCACGCTTCGCAAGAATTTGTTTTCACACCTGAGAGTTGTACATGAACTCTCAGATATTGAACTCAGTGAGTTGAGGACAGCCGTAACCTGTCAAGCGTCAGCTAGTGCTGATATTCCGGTGCTTTCTTGCCCAGTTTTTGGCGAATGCTGTAAAGACTATATGGCTCTCGCATTTCATCGCCATGATATGCATAGCAGTGACGGGGCAAATGGTGAGCCGCAGGATCATAGCATCTTCTCGCTGCTTCGCAAACGACGATCACTTTAAAGTAAGGCTTCAGTGTCCCTACATGAGCATTAAGATAGCTTAGGCGATTCTGGTTTTAAGTGGAGAGGGGGAGGAGTGGGTAGAAGAGAAGGGTAATAAAGGCTTTCAAGGGCGTGGTTGAAGATTAGCTACAATTTCTAAGCATGTAGAGTGCCGTTGGCTTGAAACCTTCCCACCCTCCCTTTGCTTCATCTACCAACTGTGGTTTTGTCGTATACAGCTAATGTTTAGGTTTGGCTGGATGCCCAGTGGAGAGAACCGGCACGACTCTTTATAAACGAACAAGCTGTGAACTCCAGTCTCAAACAAACTCCAATCTGCAACACAAGAACATCCGGCCTTAGCTGTTAGGACGGAGCTTTCTAAGCCAAGGGAAAGCTTTTAATGACTAAGGCCGAGCTTTTCACGGTAAGTGTTGGATAACAATGGCAGAAAAGCGATACTAAAGCAGATAGTTTCAGCGACAATCTCGCATCAAAAAGAAACAGATCAGAGAAGAATGATATTGTTCGGTGAGTTTTGATCATGGTTAGTTTACTGAATCCTCATCTCTTTCTAATTTTCAGTCCTGTTTACACACCACATAAATATCGTTAGTATCGCGTGCAATCTCCGGATGAAGCTGCCACTTTCATATGACGTGCTCAATTTCAGCTATTTTTTCCTTTGTGGCCTTTCAGTTACGTTTATACATACACTAGCTGATCTGCCCGGTCCAGCCCGGGAATGATCACTGATCGGGAATGAAGATAAGGTATTCGGTGGCATTGTAGAAACTGTGTAAAGAACAAAAACAAAATGTGAACACTTATTAGTCGGTAGCATATCTCTCTTTCTCCAAATCAAGTTCAACACACAAAACCTAAGCGAGCAGCGCGAGTTAATTGATAGCAGCGCTCATTGTTATTATGAGGATCATTTTTTGTGAAACTTTGCCGTTAACCGGCTACTTCATCTTCATTCACTGCTTGCCGTCAATTTTTTCGGCAGTACTTTGCACTCGCGCACTTTCCTGGTCCCAGGGATCAACTATAGCGAATGTGAGTTGTCGCTTGTCTTGACATTATTTCTGGTATTGACAAATAATTTGTGCGCAATCTCATGAAAAATTTTGACCTCTCATTGTTTAAATTGAGCATGTAACGAAGAAAGCATTGATTATAAGCGTAAATTGAGCACGCTTCCGTACAAAACACTCGCTACAAAGCACTCATGGTCTCTTGCACGCTAAGGTTTCCGCATAAGATACATTTAGTGCATCCATTTAAATGAGCAATTGAGACTCACATCAAGAACACTTTTCACTGCACTTCGTCAACAGAAGTTCACAATGAGACATGCCAGCCTTGTTTACATACCCCTGTTTTGATAGCAAATGATAAGAATCATTTTTAATGCAAAGTGCTGCAAATCAATAAATCGATAGAAGGACCCAACGAATCGCTGCAAAAAGTAGCCTATCATCTGCGCAAGGCTCGAAAACATATGTGTGTTAAGTTTCAGTTTAATCGGTTGAGCGGCGCACGTTTCTATAACGCACATACCCTCCAAACTGACAATTTTTGAGTTTTATATCTATCATGACTTATAATAACGGGCTAAGGATGTTTACGTGACTTTGTGTGTGTGTTTGTGTGTCTGTTACGAAATTCGTGGAGCGTGTTCCAGCAAACGTTCTGGGCCCAAAATTTGCACAGCACATGCTACCAGCACAAAACTCCACCATGCAAAAGCATGAGCGAATTCGTTGAGTGGATCCCTCAGAAATTGCGCGCCAAACGGGTCCACCTGGCTTCTGTACCGCAAAATACGGTCCGTATCACCTCTTTTTGCAGAGCCGTGGATGAGTTTGTTAAGCAAATGTGTAAGCGATGGAGTTTAGCCGAAAAAGTGATTGAAAGTTTACTACATAACGAAAGCGGCGCCAAAACGAATTGGTTGTGTAAATGGTCAATTTGGCAAGGTTCTAGCTAAGCGTTTGAGAAGGTTTTCGCACAGAAATGTACCTCACGGTTACTACTGCCTTTATGGCGACTACCAAGTCATGACAAATCCAAAAACCTATTCAAATTTGCGTTTGTCTTCCTGCGAAAAGTTTCATCCACGCGAAGTCACCGATCTCACGTGAAAAGACTTTCTAAATGAGTGGTTGTTTACATTATATTCGTGGTAGTTGGCATAGCGCGGTGAGTTCCAGTGCCACGATTTTACGAGAATGAGTAAGGCACATAGATAGTAGAGCCAGTGCGAACCTCTGCGAAGCAGAGGTGATGTACTGGTATATATATAAAACTCAAAAATTGTCAGTTTGGAGGGTATGTGCGTTATAGAAACGCGCGCCGCTCAACCGATTAAGCTGAAACTTTACACACATATGTTTTCGAGCCTTGCGCAGATGATAGGCTACTTTTTGCAGCGATTCGTTGGGTCCTTCTATCGATTTATTGATGTGCAGCACTTTGCAATAAAAATGATTCTTATCATTTGCTATCAAAACGGGGGTATGTAAACAAGGCTGGCATGTCTCATTGTGAAGTTCTGTTGACGAAGTGCAGTGAAAAGTGTTCTTGATGTGAGTCTCAATTGCTCATTTAAATGGATGCACTAAATGTATCTTATGCGGAAACCTTAGCGTGCAAGAGACCATGAGTGCTTTGTAGCGAGTGTTTTGTACGGAAGCGTGCTCAATTTACGCTTATAATCAATGCTTTCTTCGTTACATGCTCAATTTAAACAATGAGGGGTCAAAATTTTTCATGAGATTGCGCACAAATTATTTGTCAATACCAGAAATATTGTCAAGACAAGCGACAACTCACATTCGCTATAGTTGATCCCTGGGACCAGGAAAGTGCGCGAGTGCAAAGTACTGCCGACTCCACAAAAATTGACGGCAAGCAGTGAATGAAGATGAAGTAGCCGGTTAACGGCAAAGTGTCACAAAAAATGATCCTCATAATAACAATGAGCGCTGCTATCAATTAACTCGCGCTGCTTGCTTAGATTTTGCGTGTTGAACTTGATTTGGAGAAAGAGAGATATGCTACCGACTAATAAGTGTTCACATTTTGTTTTTGTTCTTTACACAGTTTCTACAATGCCACCGAATACCTTATCTTCATTCCCGATCACTGCTCATTCCCGGGCTGGACCGGGCAGATCAGCTAGTATATATATATATATATATATATATATATAGATTCTTTATGGTCATCGCTGTTATCTCATACTATATCTCTCGAAAATTGCGTCTGTGTCAAACTCTGAGTTATGAGAACATCACTGTTCGAGTCTAACAAGGGAAGGATAGTTGGATGCCGCGGCCATTCCTAATGATTTGTATACCAAAAAATGCGCCTTCGAATGCAGATTCTGAATCTGTGCTTGAGATCTGCGAAACGATCTTTTGAAGAAAGTTATGAACTTTTTTCCTTGAAAATTTAGCCTACTTTTGGGTAGTAAAAATCATCAGATTTGATCTAGCCTACCGTTTGATGCTACTGAAAAAAATTTTTAGACGTAGTAATATTTATTTAGACTATCTGCATCATACTTAGCATTTGGAAAGGAGAGAAAATTTTTTATTGATGATTTTGACCCTCCGCAGGAATGCAATTTTTTTAATGAAAAAAATCATAACTCCATTCAGATTATCGTTTCGCAGATATGAAAGACAGTCTACGAACCAGCATTTAAAAGCGCACTTTTTGGTATACAAATCATTATGAATGGCTACGGCATCCAAATATCCTTCCCCTGTAAGTTTTCCAGCTTGGAACTAAGTTGTTGACTGATTAAGTTGATGCTGAGAACGCTGTGCTTCTACGGCTCTTTATAATTCATTCGTTAATTCACTCAGAACTCACTTCAACAATTATGCTAGAAAGCTCTTCGAAAGCCTCAGGTGCATGATCTGATATTCATACTGTGTTGGTACTCTATGATTGTGATGATACTCTGTGATTGTTCTTGCACGATTCTTCTGACCGTTATCAGCCAAACACTTTCTCAACAGTTAAGAATGCAGACTTCATAAGAAATAAATAACTATCAAAGCTTTTGAACTATGATCTATCCCAGATGATTTACCTAGACTTACTGTTTCACTGCCATTCTGTGGCCACCAACCTCAAGATTAAGACTGACGTCTGGATATCATAGCATTCGTATTCTGAAGCTGGAAAATCAAGTCAGTACGCAATTATGATGAACGGGTAGCATGAAATGGCTACAGTCAACCTTTCTCGGGTAAATCTGACAAGGTTTATCCATGAATACGACCACTATAGCAGGAGATGGGTGACCGCTGCAAAATTACATGTGCAGCATTGACTCATGGTAGCCATCGTAATTTTCTGTAGATGTGCGATTTATTGTTTAATGGATGTCTTCACAAAGGGCATCCAGTTTTCGAGTTCTATTTTTGATACTAACTTCTCCGGAACTGACGCACTCTGATAATCGCTGTCGTGAACATCATCGTAGCTACGAAGAGAGCAGAGATCGCCGAACAAGTGGAACAAACTGCATCCAAGCATTTTCGCCTTTTGGCGTCCTTACGTAACGAATGGATCGCCGCGCGCTACAATATGATCCGCCATAAAACGTTCCGAAAGCACCGTTTCCACGAATTCTCGTATTGCGACTCTAATCCGAAAAAAGCGAAATCCACGAAATCGAAACGCATTGCATGGATGGAATTGGTATCGTTCGTATTCGCCGCGACCCAGCAGCTATTCGTAATGATCGCATTACAAAGCCAGTCAGTTGTAAAGCCGCAAAAGCGTTTTCTATATATCGGACGAGTTATGTCTGCTATGTAGCGTCGCCAACCCAATTCGTAATGACTTTTCCGCTGGATACGTTGGGGTCTTTCATCAGTTTCTCGCGGGTCAAGGCGACTCTGACTTCATAAGAAACACACAATAGTCAATGCATTCGCCAAACTTAAGGAGAAATAAAGTAGTGGTGGTTCAAGCAGCGATACAGAGAATCAGTCTCAAGGAAAACGACGCAGTGTCAATGCTACCAAACATTTATAGATTGTCACGAAAACCGTCAGTCTTGCTAATAAGAAACCGAAAATTACATAGTGAGCTGACTGAGCATACAAATCCACAGAGTCGGCTGCGCACACGGCAAGCGTGACTTAATGATAAAGGCTGCGCGCGCGACGCGACCGCCCGCGCAGCCGACTCTGTAGATTTAAATGGGGCCAAATTTGCATTGGGTCATGGGGCGCGCTCTTCGCAGCCATTTGTAACTATAGGTACGAGTACACAGAAAGTTCAACTGATAACACGAATTAGAAGCACGACGGGCATCACAGTACGAAAGAAGTGCAAATTAGGAAAATTTGACATCTCCGCCAAGAAACAAGTCGAAAGAAAAAAGAACTGTTCCAAAAAAAAAACAAACAGGGAAGAAACTCAGTTTCAGCGATATCGCCCCGTCGCTGGTTTCAAACTTGCGACGCAATATCGCAAGATTTCGACCAAATCGCGGCGATACCGCTGGAGTAGGGTTGTTTCAGACTGCCGCACTGACTGCAACAGACTGCAGCAGACTGCAGCTGACTGCAGCTGACCGCACTGACCACACTGACCGCACCGGTCGCAGGCCTCTTTCCTTGAAAGGAAAAACAACCGCGATTATCAAAACAGCGTGATTTGCTCATGAGAAGATCATAAGTTCCATCAGAATTCTTCTCAATCAAATTTTGGATAGTTTTCTTTGGTATGTTCGTATTTGTTCTAATTCTTCCTATCATTGCATAAACCTGTTTTGTAACATTCTAAACCTTGTTGCCTTTTGCTTTTACGTATATATTGTTGTTGTTTGTTTAAAGCACAACTATTTATCCTCTCCGCCTGCAGACTTCAGCCGCTGCGGTCGTTGCGGTCAATGCGGTCAGCTGCAGTCTGCTGCAGTCTGCTGGAGTCTGCTGCAGTCAGTGCAGTCAGCTGCAGTCTGCTGCAGTCAATGCAGTCAGCTGCAGTCTGCTGCAGTCAGTGCGGCAGTATGAAACAACCCCTAGGTATACCTATGGCCCTGGGCAGAGCTCACGCGACGAAACCGCGCGATCTCCGGTCGCGTCGACTTGCACGAAAATGGCGACTGGGACGCGACCACCGAGTCGCTCAGTCGCCGGAGGCGTGCATACCTCCGACGCGATTTCATGCAATTGCACAACACTTCACACATTGTACGTACTCTGATTTATGAGTGAAAATCAGTGCTCTCGCTGACTTTATTACATCACTGTCTCAAAAAAGGTGTAACAGCAGACAAAGGAAGTTCGAAAGTTTATCAAATAGCATCCGACTTGACACCAATCACAACTATGCACCCAAATGGTCAACAATAGGAGGAGAAGTCAACGACATCGTGATTCTGGAAAAAATTGCTCATTCAAATGAGTGTGGAAGCATCAATTAGGAATAGGAAACAAGTACCAGCAAGGCCACCAGTGGCTGCGGACATTCCGAAAGAACCGTCACGCGACAAAACGATGATTTCAGAGCTAGAAACGTCATCCATGTGCTGCACATGATAGACGAAAATACTGCTAACCTCATGCAAAGTCTCGTAGTTTGCTGCATACAATTGTCAAGGTAGACTGTGAGCATATTCTTCAAGTCGATGCGCAATCGAACAGGGTAGGGCTTGTAACGGATTTTTTTGGCAGCCTAGGATATTAGATGTAGGAAAATGTAGATGAAAGACAGGAAAAAATGCGAAATGAGGACTAACTGTTTTCATAAAACAATGCAAGGATAGGCATAAATTGGCATTTGCAACATTTCATGCAAAAACACTTATAATCAAAAGAAAAAACAGCAACTTACAACAACAACATCGAAAATGCAGTCCAGAATCGGCGCGACGGTCGCCCCGTCGACTCGCAACGAGCGACGCGACATCGCGCCGATTCGGTAAAATCGCGACGATATCGCCAGGTGAGCTATGAACGCCGAAAAGTGTGGCGCGATCCGTCGCGCCGCGCAGCCATCACAAACGCGTCGGGACCCACACTCTAAACAGCGTGGCGTGGAACACTTGTCCAAAATGAAATGTCCTCTCACTCAACATGGCGCACCCAAATTTTGCCACTGTGTTGGGTATGACGTAAGCTACAATCGCAGCTGCTGTTCTGCCAAACTCTGACATCGCAGTGAGGGTTACGGTAGGTGTATGATAGGAAGGGAAAAATTATAAAATTCGACAGATTCTTCTGAAACTTGGCATAGGGGGGGGGGAGGTTATCCGACATGCTGATCACGAAAACGATACTGAAGTTGCGCGATAAGGGCTTTTTTGTAAGATCACTGTAGGTGTACGATATAGGGTCCCATCCTAAGCAAGGAAAGAGGCGTTTATTAACAATTGAATATGATATTCGTGTTTACCATGCCAAAAAACCTTCATATGTAAAGACTCGGGTAACTTTGTGGTTTTCACTCCTTATTCATTGACGGCTGTCACCAGCAGCCTTGCGTACAGCAACTCTCATGAAATGTTAGGGCGCCAAATCTCGACTTGGCCCTAAATTTTATTTCTTTTTGGGTGACCCGGTTAATTCATCCTCTAGCAACAATTTAAACACGATTCCGGATGATTGCGCATGGTCTAGACTGCTAACAACATCATTTTGCATTGAAACCCCAAAAATTTTCAAAATTTATAAGTTTTCGAAAAATGCCTGAAATTTCTCTAATTCGTTTTCAAAGTCCAAACAACTTTGGTGAGTTGTAGCCCACACTACGCTCTATACACTGCCCAAGTTTGAGTGCGCTACATCCAAAAAGAGTTAAGTTATGGAAGTAGTTGCAAAACTTAGTTTCCAGCCTATTATCTTTTGGAATCTGCCAAGGCAATACAACGGGGCACTCTCCTCCCCCATATGCTTTATTGTTGTGCTATACGTTCTCCTACAATGTTAAGAAGAGATTCACGCTAACGAGAGCAGGCCAGATTATACGTCGTACGAAATATAACTGCGATACATGAACTAACAAGGATGTGCAGAGAAACGCCCCGCCTCGCCGAGAGAGTACCTAATTATGCGCGCATGCACATCAAATAAGGAGCCAGATGGTTTGCAGAACAGTGACGTAAACTCTTGACGGTGTTCGTAGTCAGTTTCCAGACTGTATGCACTTTAAGTGCAAATTATTGAGCTTGCTTGAGCTCCGCATGGAAAGTGCAAATATAAGAAATTTCGAGCAACCGTCAAAGATCACATCCTCAGTGACAAACAAGCAAAGAGACCAGGTGCATGTCATGTACGAAGCTCAACAATAACGAAACATTGATTCCAGACTACCAAATTAGTACAAATGTCTAACCCCCATTCCTGTCATGGATTGGAAAAATGTTGCCCTATTTTGCTTTATCCAGCCTAATGCTTCTTACAATTACAATTAGTTTTCGAGGGGAACCCTATGATTTTGAAGCAATATGAAGGTTAGGAAAATAGGAAAATATAATTTATCAGTTTACGGGAATTCGCTGAAACCTCACTTTTGGGCGCTTCTACATTGTGAAAATATTGTTTTTGCCTCTAAGAGCAAATGAGCAACTTCACACATTTTTACCGATTAGAAATGACTTTGCGAGTCATTATAAGGAGAGTATAGGACTGTGCATGATCGCGAAGATCGGTGGTTTGCGGCCGTTGCACAGCTCCTGAGAGTCAGCCTAGATTTCGAGTTGAATCAGCTGTTCTACAGAAATGACTTTTTAGGTGAATCCCATGTTTAGGAGCTGTGGTATCTGGGGCAGGGTATTTGCAAGAAGAACAGCGTAGATGATTTCGGGGTTATTTATTAGAAGAAGTTTCCTTGACGTACTTAAGTTGCGCCAAAGATCGTTGAAAAAATGAAAATTCACTTCCTCGCTATTCTTAGTTGCACGCAAACAGTTATCAATGTATCTGCCCCAACTCACTTACTAGCGACCCGTAGGTCGCTAATGCCGCAGTACATTTTTGCTAAGAACTCCTTGTTTCAGAACTAAGTTTTAGAAATACTGCTTAAAATCCATTTTAACCGCTTCTCTTTCGCCAAAATTATATTTCTGCTTTCAAAAGCAGAAAAGCAAGAGGGCTTAGTCTCAAAAGAAGGATAGAGCCATGGACTTCATGCGGTAAGACCTTTTTGCTAGATTATCCAATAGAAAGCTTTAGCGAGTTTTAGTCTCGCTATGAGAAGTGACCTCATGTACTGGGAGACATTATCAAAGTGTAGAGCTATGCATGATCGCGATCGTCGGGGTGTTTGCAGCCATTGCTTGAGAAGGATTCCATAAGGTTTCACCCAGGTAAACAACCTCCAAATCTTTCAGTTTCGCTACAGGTAATCAAAAGCTAACGTATGATTACAGGAAAGCGTTCAAAAGAAGGAAGAGAAGTGAGAGAGTTAAGCAATAGTGAACTGACCGGTCTTTCGATCGTGCAGAGCTTTATTTTCGTTCGGGATACTTTTACGAAATTTGGTGAAAGCCGGTTTGAAAGATTTAGGTGCCTGGGTTTTTTTTGTTGCTGGAAGCTTTCTAAGACATGACGCAGTTCCTGAAAATCAGCCCAGTGTTTATTTATTTTATTTATTTTATTTTAGTCAATACGCTCATGAGCGTTCCATTACAAGCAAACAAAAAACATACATAAACAGATATTCATAAACAAACCACAAATAGATCATCCAAAAATGCTCTGAGTAATAAAATGAGCAAAGCAAGGCTAGGTTGGTGGAGTAATAATTAGCCTTGCACAAAAAATTCCGGGGAGAGTCCAAAGACCCCAAAATATGTCAAGTAAGTATCACGTTTTGTAACTCAGGATAATCAAGTCATCAAGCTGAACCAATTGGAAAATAGAAAAAGTGGTTGATTTACCTGAACTAACATGATGACAACATATGGTTAGTAAGAAATATAGATAACTAGCTGGCCTACGCGGCTCCGCCTGGCCCTGTCAAAAACGATAAAGGTTCCATTTCTATCCCTGTACACCTTTACCTGTGCCCACTTCTACATTCCCTATTCCCGCTGCGTGAGTAATCAGTATGCTCACCTACCTTCCTCACCAACCCCCCAGCCCCGTAGCTCAAACTTTGCACAAAAAAAAACAATAAAATCGATAAAAGTAAGGATAATTTTAAAAACTGATGGCGTTATTCGGCTATCCGGGCCCCAAAATGTTTTTGTGACGGATCTTGTTCAAACTCAGTATATGAGGGTTATTTGAGCCGCTGATGGCAATATCATAGTCATCGCGTGGCAGCGGGTAAAAATCATAAACCTGCCTGAAACCTTGGTAGGGAATTACCTAAAGTGCTGTTCGAAGAATATCGTGCTCAATCCCTGCGATAAAGGCAATTCGTGTGGTATAAAAGTTTCCCGTAATGCTTTCCTTACAGGACCACTGCCGCCCGCGATACACCCTTCGGCGGCTTTTGCCTAAACAAAAACAGGGGGAGGAGATTTGTCGCGTGCAATACACCCTTCTGCGGCTTTTGCCTAAGCAGAAATAGGGGAAGGGAGATTTGCCGCGTGCAATACACCCTTCGGCGGCTTTTGTCTAAGCAGAAATAGGGGGAGGGAGATTTGCCGCGTGCAATACACCCTTCGGCGGCTTTTGTCTAAGCAGAAATAGGGGGAGGGAGATTTGCCGCGTGCGTTACACGTTGGGGCAGGTTATCAGGATGGCGCTGGATACCGCCATGCAAAACGACCGTTTCCCCATTTCATGAATATCTGGGATCTAAATTGGCCCTGTCCATTCAAATCCTGCAACTCACCATAACTTCACTAATGCGTTATGACAGCGAGCAAGTTTCATATTCATAAGCAGTATACTTGTGAACCGTTACAGGTAAGGTTTTGAGCAAATGAAACTTCGACCCATCTAACACCTATCATAACCCAAGAAAATGCACTATCCTGCGAAATCAGCATGATATTTATGTTCAGCGCGCAAAATTAGCACCCTAGATAAAGTTCAAAGCAAATCTATGTTTTCGACCCCATGCCATATAACCACCACAACTCTATGAAAAGGTCACGATATGCAGAGAGAGATGATATTCGTAATCAGCATGTCGAATAAACCATATGGACCGAACTCCAGCCGAATTCATGATTTTGACCTACCGTACACCTATCGTAACCACATGGGGAGACTTTCTGCGACGAAAGTGTGATATCTGTAATCAGCATGTAAGATAACCCTTATACACGAAACTGAGCAAGAACTACGACAGAAAAAATTTTGGGGCCCGGTTAGCCGAATAGCGCCAAACTAATATCGAACTCGTAATCAGCATGCTCGATTACCCCCTGTGCAAACTCCCAGCCCCGTAGCTCAAACTTTGCAAAAAAATCGATAAAATCGATAAAAGTAATCGATCATCCTGAAAACTAATATTGTATTCGGAATCCCCATGCTCGATTACCCCTGTGCCAACTCCCAGCCCCGTAGCTCAAACTTTGCGAAAAATCGATAAAATCGATAAATATAATGGGCGATTTTGAAAACTAATATAGTATTCGTAATCAGCATGCTCGATTACCCCCCTGTGCAAACTCCCAGCCCCCGTAGGTGAACTCTGCCAAAAAATCGATAAAAATCGGTAAAATCGATATCGATCGATGACGAAAAGTAGCCTATGACACCCGCCGGGGTCCGAAATGTATGTGTGCCAAGTTCCGGATAGGTTCAGAAATGGAATTTTCTATTCCGAACATACGTACAGACATACAGACATACAGACAGACAAACATACAAACACGGGGGTGATCAGCATGCTCGATTACCCCCCTGTGCCAACTCCCAGCCCCGTAGCTCGAATTTTGCAAAAAATCGATAAAATCGACATCGATCGATAACGAAAAGTGGACTGTGACACCCGCCGGGGCCCGAAGG